TGCTGGCAACACTTGGCGCTTGCCACATAACGACAGCAGCAACAGAAGATGCAACAACTGCAACATATGCAACAGCAGCAGCAGATGGTGATGGAGTGGTGGAGGGGAAGGGGGAGGCTATGCATCGTAGCATGACACATTAAATGCAAAACGGCAGCAAGGTGCGAAAAGGGAGAGATGTGAAATAAAGAGAAGAGAAGGAGAAGGAATAAGCAGAGGCAGAAGCAGAAGCAGCAGCACAGTGCGGTTTCTGCCAGCTTGTCCCCCCCACCCATCCGCGTGCCAACCGATGTGTTGTTGCTACTCTTTATTTAATAAAGAAATAGCTTGCGCACTTCTCTCTTTATGTGCCCCATAACCAGCACAAAGTTGCATAAATGTGCAAGGAGGCGACGGATACCACATATGATTGCAAGTACTGGGTGCCTGGCCATTCGACTACTCTCTGATCCTGCTTGCTGTTATCCATTCTACGCATATAAACCGTATGTTCGCTGCTGCTTAGTTGTTGATGTCTGTCCTTCCCGCTCTAGCACACAACCTGAACGAGCAGCTGTTGTCCCTGCATTCCGCTTTGCCTTCTTCCTTCTTGCATCTCCACTTCTATCCCTGTCTTATGACAAAGCAATTTGAATGGATCTGGGAGCCAGCTGTGACAAGACGGTGGATAAGAAAGAGTGAGAGAGGGAAAAAGAGGAGACCATTCAAGGTGAACTTAAACTTTAGTTTAATTTTGTCGCACTTTCTCTCCGCTCTGTCTGTCCTTGCCTGGCTGTGTGACCAATAACATCATTATTATGTGGTATTGAAAAACAAAATTGACAGGGAGTACCAACCAGCACCCCTTATAGACCCCCTCCAGGCAGACCACCAACCCATCCGTCTATCCATCATTTCAGCATCGAAAACACTTTAAATAATTGCACATTATTTACAATACGAGAAGAGACTTTAATAAAATAATTAAAAAGAAATATGCGAGGCTCGCTAGTTGGGTCTCTCTGGTCTCTCCTTCCCCACTGGCTTCTGCTCCCGCTCGCGCTCCCCCCTTGCACTTGGGAAAAATTGCTGTGGATTGGAAGCATCCACGAAACCAACCGCGGAGAAGGTACCGCAGAATGGGGCTGCTGCTGGCTGCCCAAGTAGAAAAAAGTGTGCGGGATACCGACCAATCTACGCATATTTCTCTCCTCTTGCAGCTTCAGTCTCCGGCCTTAACCTTCCTCTTCCTTCCCTTTCCAACGTCAAAGAGAACACCGACGAGACGCGATGGCAGAGTGGAGTGTGAAAAAAAGGCAGCCCGATGAAATGTTCTCATTTTAAAGAAATTGTTGAAAAGCATACAAATTCAACAGAAAATATTAATTTCAATTATTTAGGCACGCCGAGCAACAGCTTCTCTGGACTAGCGACAGAGAAGGGAGCGCGCCACATCGTTTTCACAGATTTTTCCCACCAAAGAGGACGACCAGAGAGAGAGCGAGAGAGAGAGGAGAGAAGCCAGCACTTTGTTCGCTAAATGCGAGCAATTTGTTACAGGATTTTCATCGGGTCTGGTCTGAGAGGCTGTGGCCTGTTGCTGTGGGAACCTTCCGATGCAACAGGAAAAGAGCCCCATTTATAATTATCAACTGAGCTGTAGGTGGCGCTCTGGGAGCTTCGGCGCATAGCGGAAGTTATTAGTCGGGCAAAACTGCAGTTATGCGCTGAGACTCGGACACGGGCTCTTTCTTTTTCCAAAGAACTTGACATTGGAGGGCTATTTAGTGTACGAGTATTAATGTGCTCTGAAGGCGGCTTCTGATTCTTTGTCTGCTTCCGAGTCTTCTTCTGAAGCTTTGGTTTCACTTCCAATTAAAGACGACACTTTGTCATGGCTCTGGTTCTGTTTTGTGTCGCGGAAATGCTTGGAACAACTGAAGGGAACGCTTGGAGCAGAGGAGACTGAAGCTGTACTTAAACAATCAAGTAGCTAGTATTAAATGGTATTGAATGGTATTGCCAACTTGATTGATGCTTCTTTCAAGAGTGTTTTCCAGCTTAGGGATTCGATTGATTGTGAATCGGAAAAGCATACTTACATAGGTTGATCTGATGAGAGCAAATAAAGGTGAATTACACAAACATGCTGCGCTTTTCTCAACTCTTTGCTGGCAATTTGGCAATTTTTCGCGACTTTCGATAACCGGAATAGTAATTTCATAAAAGTACTCCGAATCGATATGTACATCGATGTCTCATCGATGATTTGTTGCAGCACTAACGAACAGCTGATTTTACGACGCCAAAAGTTTATTGAGTGAATGGAAATTGCTAAATTTGTTTATTTTTAAGTGAATTAACATCATAAAGTGCAAATTTAATGAGGAAGGCGAGGAAATCGTGTGTCATTCGATAAGAGGGAAACCGCATTCAGTCGCGACTGATGTTCATCACAAGATGTGGATGATTCAGATAGATTCAGATATTCCATAGAATAAGTGAAAAGTCGATACAGTTTCAGCGATGAAATCATTACGAAATCTCTTGTGGTCCGACCTAAAATTGGCAACACTCATTATTGAAGTACCGTATCAACAACCTTTCACACAGCACACAGCCCCCTGCGAAGTCGAAGACCCCCTGAAAATTACAATTAATTCGAATCTCTCTCAGACTCTGGAGCGGGCTGACCCGGCCAGAGATCATCTCCCAGCAGGTTGCTAATGTGAAAGATCTGGGGAATTGAAAAAATAAATAACAAATTAAGCATTAAATTACGAGAATATGCCGATCTTTAACCTCCGCCGCAAAGAGTACTCGTAGTACATCCGATAACCAACTAGTTTTGGATTATTCAAACTCAAATATTCATAAATGCCACGGATCCTCCTCATGTTACACTTGCCACTCGAAGATTGATCGCCAGACACCCAACACTCTTCCACAAAGTTGCGAGAGACTGAAATTTCTTGCCTAATTTGATTAATTAGACCCTGGGGAACAGAAAGATTTGTCCGATAAATAATTACAATTATTATGGAGTTTCTGTTTAGCTCGATCCCATATATTGTATTGTGGGGAGGGGGGCCAAAAATGGTGAGAAATATGAGTAATAAATGGTGGGCACGGCAGACGTCATCGATCGATCGACGGTGACGTAGTCTAGTGGCCGAAAGCTGACTAAGTCGGAGGAAGGGAGGGATATATGTATGTATGTACTGGTAGCACTCGCAGTCGAATACGTGTCCACTGATGGGGTGGCTCATTGAGCAAATATTTCGATGATTTAATAGATATTTTCTGTATATGGTGAAGTCGAGCGGTCTGGATGTCCGTGGAGATATGAAGAAATTGTGGATCCCCATTTGTACACACATTTTTAAGGGTCTCTCATCGGTTACTTATGTACATATGTACATACATGTGCATATGTATGTTTGTAGGAAATTTCATGACGAATTCTATAACCTTCTGCCGCTCAGCTCCGCCTCTTCCTCTCTTCAGTAAGGTCAAAGTTTTTTCTTAGGCCCTTGACTTTACATTTCGCAATTTTTCACGCACTTCTTCGGCTTGCTTTCTGCCATCACAACACTTACCTCTCTTTTTGCTTTGCTACCTTTCGGCACATGCAAACATGGTTTTTTGCAGCGTTTCATTTCATGAAACAATTCTTCTTTACTCTGTGCCCCACTCTTCTCCTCTCCCTCCCCTTGAGCGTTTTTTGCGTCGTTTACATTTGCAAAAGTTCATTAACATTTTGTGTGTTTTTGCTGAACGAGAGGGAAAAAATCCACGCAGCGGTTTTTCGGCTTAATGAAATTTAGTCTTGTTTTTAGTCGTTTTGGTTTTTGTTTTTTTGGACTTTTGCTTAATTAATTATGCAAATTGTTACATGTCCAAAGAGGAACTCTTCTGGGAGTGGGTGGTGTCCGACCTCCCAAACTGGGGAACTAATTTTTGGAAGAGTTCAATTGGAGATCCATGGAGTCAAGCCATGGATTTCACATTTAGTGCCTGACACTGGAAACGTTTTGCGAAATTTATAATCATAAATAATTTATATAGAAATTGGCAAACGAAACTCCCCCAAGAATTGACCCCAAAAGAGACCAGCAGAGACCAACAGAGACCGCAAGAAACCAAAAGAAAATGAAAGAAACCGAAGAAAGGGAGAATAATGCTAATGCTAAAACTCGCATGCCTTGACCAGAGGTTTTTGTCAACTCTCCGCTTGAGGGCGTCTGGCCGGGTGGTTCTTTCGCTACTTTCGCTTGTTGGGAAAGAAACCTTTTTGTTTTGGCCAATAATGTAATTTGTTTTGTATTTTGGCCAAATCTGCGGACCTTCTCTTTCGAAACGAAACGAAACGAAATGAAACGCTTCTGTCAACCACAAAATGTAACAAATTTTTCCCTCTTGCCCGTCATTGCTATTGTTGCCGTTGCCGTTGCCTTAGCTGTTGCTGTTGCTGCTGCTGAGGTTTTTAATTGCTCCGTGTGGCAGAGAGATGAGATACGACTACGAGTGGTATCCACAAGATTCGCTTTTGTTCCGGTGTTAGCGCATAATGACAACTATTTGGGAGGTTTGGTGGAGCGAAAGTTTCCCCCGCACGCTGGGATGGATAGTTATTTGCGTTTTGTAAGAGATCTCTCTCCCGAAAACTAATTGACGCATTACCCAAATGATATTTTCGGCCAATGGAAATGGCATTTTGGAGAAGATTATAAATATTACTCACTTTCATGTCGTTTCTTCTCTTTCACTTATCCCACAGCATACTACTCCAACTCATATTATCTCTGAAATGTAGCGAATGTAACCCCCCGCCCTCCCAAAGCAATCTAACATTCATGTCGCTCCTCAGTCACCTTCCTTGGTTATCGCTTGACCCATCATAGCAATTCCTAATCCAATCCCAAATGCTGCTACCATCCATCCACATCATTTGTTGATCCTTGTGTATGTTTTTGTGTTGCTAACCAAAACCTTTTTCCCGCTCTACCAATCCCTTGCAGATCTTGGTACCCTTAACAGCCACAACAACATCAGCAGCAGCAGCAGCAGCAGCAACATCCCAACGACAACGATCATCAATCAGAAGAAGAAGACGCCAGCAGAAGCAGAAGCAGGTGCAGGTGCAGGAGCAGGCGCAGTAGGAACCGGAACTGGAACTATAACGAAGGGCGCCAACAAAATGGAGCTGCTGAGCAGCGCCTCAGCAACAGTAACAGCCACAGCCACACACAGCACAACCACAACGACAGCCACGCACCAACTGCAGGCGACAACAAAGCAGCTGGTGGGGCAGGAGTACCTGAGCTACGCCTCGCCGCCCACCTACTCCCGCCTGCCGCCCGACGGCCATGAGTTCCCCCCGAACTTCAGCGAACCTCTGATCATGCATCCATCACACATGCACCCACACCCACACACACACCCTGCGCTGCTCAAGGCCAAGGCAGAGCTCTCCTTCGAGCATAACAACAACAACAACAACAACAACGGCAGCAGCAGCCAGGAGGAGGCGACCGGAGCACCGCCGCTGCCAAAAACGGGGCCACCGCCGACAGTGCCCAGGAAGGTGTACCGCCAGGATCTGGTAATAAACGTGGAGGATGCCCGCTCCAGAGACGCCACAGAGACGAAGACGCCGCCCAGCCTGGGACGGGACTACCAGCGCTCTCTTAGTGCGAGCGCCCCGCGAAAGCCCAGTGACTGGCGCAAGGACGAGAAGTCGGAGAAGTCCGTGCGCGACAAGATCGCCATGTTCTCCTCCAACAACGAGCTGGACGCGATTCCGGCAGCAACCCCGACCATGACCATGACCATGCCGGCCGCTGTCTCCACCTTCTCGCGGAAGCCGCTGAACAGGAGCAGCGAGAACCTGCTGGACACCTGCTCCTCCACTCCGGCGCCCTCCCTGAAGACGCGCGCAATGAGCGTGGAGAACCTGAACGACGTGCAGCGCCAGTACCAGCTGGCCAAGCAGCTGCCCCAGCTGCACGTGGCCGACTCCATGTACTCGCTGCACACGCCCAATCCCAGTCCCAGCCCCAATCCCAGCTACAGTTACGCCTCCAATTACGCCTCGCTGCCGCGCAGGACGCACGGCGGCTCCTACTCGGCCTCCGCCGCGGCGGTGGAGCGCAGGATAAGCTTCTCCGGCGAGGGCGAGGCGGCCAACCGGAAGGCGGCCATCACCAACATCCTGGAGCAGCGCCGCCGCAGCTTGTCCAAGTTGAGGGGCCTAGTCATCCCGGAGAGGCCGCAGCTGCTGGAGCCCATCCTCGACCTCCCAGAGATCAAGAGCCAGGTGAAGGCGGCCAGCGGGGAGGACAGCACCGACAGCGGCCTGGGCGAGACCCGCTCCCGCACCAATGGAGGCCTCGCCATAAACAGCATAGGCAGCAGCGCCTACCGCAGCATCTTCTCCACTGTCCAGCGGCGTCCGCTGGAGCAGCAGCTGTCCCAGCCGCCGGCCAAGCCGCCGCGCACCTCCCTGTGTGCCCCTCTGACACCCACCCCCACCAGCATCACTGCCACTGTCCATCCCATCTGCAGGCTGATGGCACCGCCTCCGGCGCTGCCCCCGCCCGACCAGGAGAGCGACACGGACTCGGTGTTCTCCAGCACGGCCCGGGTGGCGACGCCCCCCGAGAAGTTTGCCCTCACCCGAACCCTCAGCTCGGAGACAAACACTTCGATAGCCAGCTCCAACACCTCCACCCTGACGTCGGGCTCCTCGGCGGGCTCCCAGGCCAGCTGCAGCTCCCTGGGCAGCACACCGGCTCTCGATCTGACCCGGCGGGTGCTCAAGAGCCAGGTGAACGGTAGCGGCAGCGGCGACCCAGTGGCCCTCTCAAACAGGAAGAGCATCCTGGCCTCGGCCAAGTGCCGGAACGCGAAGAACCGCGGCCAGGAGGAGGACAACGACAGCACCGATGGCGAGGTCTGCACCCTGGCCGGGCGCCGCATGAAGCCCGTCTCCAGCTACAAGCAGCAGATGCACCAGATGCAGCTCCAGCAGCAGCAGCTGGGCAAACAGCTGGTGGTGGACAAGCTGATCAACGTGGCCGCCTACGTGGAGCTGACCTCGGACACGGACGACAGCAGCCGGCGCTCGGACACGCCGGCGAAGATCAGTGCCATGTTCATCGACGAGGAGCGCAAGGCCAGCTTCAAGGCCGATCCCAGCCAGCAGGCCAAGCCGAAGTCGCTCCAGATGCCGGTGCAGGTTCAGGCAAAGCCCGTCTCCGCGCCCTTGTCCCTGCAGCGGGCCTATGAGCCGAAGCGGGAGGCGCCCAAGTCGCAGACCACAGCCGAACTGCGCGAAAAGTTCGAGAGGAGTGCAGCGGCAGCCGCGGTCCAGGCCCCGACACTCCACAAGATGCACACGCCACTGCACCCAGCGGTGGCCGCAGCGAAGCCACACCACGAACGCTTCTCCTCGCTCGACTCGCTGGCCTCGAGCTCCTCCGGCGTGAGCTCCACCACACAGAACGTCAGCACCACCCAGGAGACGGCGACGGAGTTCGGCAGCTTCTCCTCGCTGGGCAGCAACCAGAGCCTGATCACGGCCCAGGACGTGCAGCAGATTGTGGAGGAGGCCGATCCGCCGCTGAAGAGCCCCGAGGCCTTCATCATTGTCCTGCAAAGAGATAACCCGGAGAGCAGCATTGGCATCACCCTGGCCGGTGGCTCCGACTACGAGGCTAAGGAGATAACGGTGAGTAGTGGCGTCTTTAGCAGAGGATCAGGAGTAGCGAGTAGTAATGGGCCTTTTTCCCTCTCCCTCCTGCACACAGATACACAAGATCCTGAGCAACACGCCAGCGGCCAAGGATGGACGCCTGAAGAAGGGAGACCGCATCCTGGCCGTAAATGGGATGAGCATGCGGGGCCTGACGCATCGGGAATCGATCAGCGTGCTCAAGGTGAGTCCATAGCCGGATAATTCAGATAATTCAGAAGCTCACCAATTGTTTTCTCCTCAGACACCCCGTCCGGAGGTGGTGCTGGTCGTCACCCGCTCCGAGTCGCTGATTGTGAAGGCTCTGAACAAGAAACGCTCCTCGCTGGGCTCGCTGAGCTCCCTCAACGAGAAGCCGACGGATCTGGAGTACGAGCGAAAGCGCAACTACCACAAGGCCTCCCGATCTCTGGACTTGGACCTGGACATCGTGTCCAATGAGGCGGAGTCTGGAGGCGGCGACTCGCCAGTGGGTACGACGCCCAGCCCCAGCACCGGGTCCAGCAGTCCCCAGCAGCCGGCCAGTCTGCATGATGATGACGCCGAGGCCACCATCGCTGGCATTCGTGCACGACGTCAGCTCTCCCGCGGAGACGCTGCTAAGCTGAGCACCAGCGAGCTGCTGGAGCGGGCGGCCGAGGCACGGAACGCCATTGCAGCAGAGATACGGGCACAGGGTGAGGAAAAACAAATACTAATGGTCACACACTCTTGGAGGTGGATTCTAATCGAAGCTTTCTTCTTACTTTAGCAGAGGATGTGGCGGCAAGTGGAGCTGGAGCTCGGTGCGTGGAGATTGTCAAGGATAGCTGTGGACTGGGCTTTTCTATTGAAGGAGGCTTCGATTCGCCGCTGGGAAATCGACCGCTCATTGTCAAGAAGGTGTTCATGGGTGCGTCATCCATTGTCATTTCTGGATAGCTGGATGTTATATCGTCTGGAACCATACTTTCTAACACTTTCCACTCTCTCTCCCTCTCTGTTCTTCTTGTACAGGCGGTGCTGCCCAGAAGACCAACCAGGTGCGCAACGGAGACGAGATCCTGAGCATCAATGGTGCCTCAACGGCGCGGATGACGCGCGTCGATGCCTGGAACTACATGAAGCAACTGCCTCTGGGGCCGGTCAAGATCAGCTTTGCCTGAGATGGACACAAACGAAAAGGAGAAGTGGAAGGAGAAGGAGAAGAATGCGCCACAATTTTTGTTAGTTCTAAGTTGATAGTAGTTTGGATACGATACGACACCCTAATCCTGGTGGATGGTCTAACCATTAGGGTCTTGCCAATCAATGTAGTGCACCTCCGACCGATTTGTTTTGCATTTAAAAGAACTTTTAAGCGTATGCTTAATTGCATATACATACGTACACACGCATACACATGCATACATATATATATTCTTAATTTAAAGTGCAATTGTTTAAACTCGTTCAATTTCAATGCGGCTGCATTAACCACCGCCCTATATATACGCTGATAATATCGATGATTGTACATATACATATATAACTAATCGAAACTAATTTACGTATTTAAACATAAAAATCGTGACACGAGGGGACTAAGAAGCAAACTTTGTAGCAGCGCTATTTCCTTATATACAATATTACATTAATCCAATCCACAAGCAACACAAAAAATAACAAAACCGACAAAAAAAAAACAATTATATTTTATGCCATAAATTATACGGGAACGTTATATATGTATACTATTTCTAATAATTATTATATTATGTATTTAAACAAAAGCAAAACAAAACCCATGTTTATGTATACAAAAGTATTTGCTAAAAATAAACATACGATATATACTGAAATCAAAATTTATCTTTTTTCGATTCAGATCCCAATCTCTAGCCCAATCCAAATACATATACATTAATACATGCAATTGTATTTATTTGAACTCTTTCAGTGTTATTATTATTAGGTTATGGCTTTTGAGGATTATCATTATCCTTTATTTGTCTTGGCTTTCTTGGTCGCACCAGAAGGCTGCACGGATGGTGCCGATGAAGTCGACATGGCTCCGTTGGCATCGGAACGGGCAGCCAAATGCTGGTTGGAGAAGGAGACGCCCTCTGGAGTATCAAATATCTCACCGAGCAGGGCGTACACACGACGCTTGAAGTAAAGCTTCTGACGGAAGGTCATCTGTTCCATCTCGGGACGGATACCATGCAGGAAGGCATCGTCGGAATTGATGGCTGGCCATGGCACCGCTACAGCATCGTTCTCGTACTTGTAGTCGTTTCCATTGCTGGCATCATTTTCCGTGTCCTCGTCGCCCGGCTCGTCGTCGGGCTCTTCGCCCAACTCGACGTCGGGCTCCAACTTCTCTTGCGCATGCTCCGTGCCAAACATTTTCTCGCTGCTGTCGTTGACGTTGCGACGGCCGTGCACCGTATTATTGGCGCGTGAGCGTCGGCCTTGCGGAGGTCTGGGAACGCCCGGTGTGATGTGCGACCTAAGGAAGGAGAGCTCTGAGCTCAAATAATACGTCCGTGTGTGATTAAAACCATCTTTTATGGATCGGGCGTAACTTGAACGTATATTCCGCCAACGCTCCTTGCAGCTATTGACTATTCGGACAGAGAATAATTATAATTATAAAGAATCAAATTCGGGCAGATGAAAACTTACTCGAATCGTGCATCTTATGGGATATATCTCTCCAGGCACTCTTTATGTGCGACTTTATATGGTACCCTTCATTAGAACGATCAAAGAGACAAGGATGTTTGGCAATCAAACGGCATATTTTCACGTTCTTTTCCTTTATCTCAGGCGTCGGAGTTTTTCTTTGGCTGGCCTTACGGATTTCGAGCCCATCTGTATCATGTTAAAGAAAATAAGTAAATATTATACCGAACGTAGGAGCTATCTCACATACCGTTGGGCCGAAAACTGGCCCGAGTGTTCATTTTACTGAAAATCAAAGAATACAAGCCCACTGGAATGGCGAAATCGTTTTCGACACTCTTGTCGCCTGTCCACACCAGCTGTTTGTCGCGCTACCTCTGCAGGGGGACAGCAACAAATTTAGTTGGTGGTATTGCTGCTGCAGCTTGACGCCAACTTAATTTCCTTCTTTTACTTTCTGCTGTAACGTAATGCGGAATGAAAATATCATTGACTTCCAATCGTACAATACAAAACGTACCTTAAAGCTGAAGGCCCACTAGATTTCCAAAAATGCTCGGAAGCAACAATGAGCCGGCACCAAAAAACACAGAAAATGCCAAAACAAACCAACTCGAAAACATGGACGGCGTCCGCTCTTACCGGATGAAAACGGGGTCCAGATTATTCCAAGCGATTCAACCCTCTCGGAGAGCGCCTGCCCGACGACACCACTGAAACTCACACACACACAGTGACACGGCGAGAACAGCTGCGCAGAAAGAGAGAGCCGAGTCACCCACAGCACTGCCAGGCACAAAATTAATGTGAATAAATTTGGGCTGGCAATATGCAGTTCGATCACTTTTCAAACAAACAATTAATGACCCGTGGGTAATGACAGTGAATGGACAATTGGGCTGCGAATATATAGAATTTATTAGTTTTAGCCGTTCGACTAGAGCAGCCATTAAGGCAACCTCAAAGGCGTATTATTTAGATTAATTAATAAGTGCGCACTCACATTCTTCGGTAGCCCTGGCCGGGCGATTGTTCAACCCTCGCCGTCGTTGCTCTCTCTCTCTCACAACGACGCCAGTAGTTGGGTATGTGTGTGTGTGAGTGAGCTCGCTCTTGTTTTCAGTCTCCGTTTTACAAATAGCTGCTGCGCGTGTTGTTGTGTTTGGCCCAGTATTTTTCGTTCGTTTTTCGCATTAAATAAGGCTAGAAAAGTGTCGTGTTTGCCTATGAGTGCGATGTCAAATATCGAATCGAATGTTAAGCTGTTGCGGGCGGTGGAGAAGCAGGCGCCTCTATATGATCGGGGCAACGATAGTTACAGGAAGAGGCTGCCCAGCGAGAATTGTTGGGACATGGTGGCCTCGGAGACAGGAGAGTCGGGTGAGTGTTGCAAAGCGCTCGAATGCGCATGCCTATCGTTAATCGGCTATCGGGCGCCAGTGCTGGGAAACGGTGGCGGGCAACGAGTTGGCAGCTCGCTCGCTGTTTGTTTTGTTGTTGGTGATGGTAAACACTCGCGGCTGCCATCGATTAATCGCAGCCCGAGCATTTGAATGTTACGAATGTTTGTGGCAATGATTAGCTCAAAAATAAACAATGGCAGACAGATGCATTCCAACGAGCCTCTAAAATCGAATGAGCTTTGAAAATATATATGGGAAATCTTTTAAATTGCCTTGCTCAATTTGACTGTTTATTTTATTTGTTTGCAGAGTTAACTATGTAATTTAATATTTAAGTATCCTTTGTCTAAAATACATTTAAAAAATAATATTGGAGCATTTCATTTCTAGAGCCCCTTTTTGAGTAGAATTGTTTTGCACATGCAACGCTGTTTCACTGGTAGTATCGATATATTGTTTCGACTGGTAATCTGGCTATCGAAAGGTGTCCATCACCACCGTCCAATAGGTTTTCATTTTTTTGACGACTCGTCGGGATCCAAGTTTTACAAATTATTTAAAAAAGCCAAATATTTCCTGTGCTTAATAGTTTACTTGCATTTGTAACATTAAATAACTAGTGCTCACAGAATTCACGTAAGTTTTGTTAATTATCCAAGGGGATCTTTCCAGTTAACTTGTAGCCATAGCCATGCAATATATGCACATGTATTTGTGCTTAAAATGCTGATTTTGAATATGTACTGTGTGCGAGTGCTTTTATTTTTGTAGAGATCGAACTAATTCCAAATTGGTAATCCTGGAGAGGCGGGTGCGTCGGTACTGTACGAATTATGCACAGTTCTCACTGTTCCTCGCCTCTGCATCAGATTTGTTCATTCTGGCGACTGGTCCAGTCTGACGCCAGTAGCGGCACCTGCGTCTGCATGGGTGTGTGTCTGTCTGTGTGGGCTTCAGAATGTGTTCAACACATGCGGTTTTTGCATTTTATAGTCGAAACTGGCAGCGCTGATTCACATGCTCGGATAATTTTCTGTATTCAAGGATAGTGTCAGCAATAATATTGGAATATTGCCGATCAATATTTATGCAAGGCCCAAACATAGGCGAACTTTTACAAACATTTTGCACAACTCAATGCTGCCCAATAAACCAGCGATGCCACGATATTTTTTTCTCGTAAAAAATCACCTCTTCGCACGTCGTTTTCAGTAAAATCTTTTTCATTGCCAAAACCAAATCAGCCATTATCCGAATGAATATTTTCTGGCCTTCCGTGGAACGCTCGGTTTTCCGGCAATATGTAGGCATTCAAAATTACAATATTAAAGTGACACATTTTGACCGCCAGCTTTAATTGATGTATAAGTGTTGAGTTGACTTTTGAATTTGACCAAACATACATTGTTGTTGTCAACACAACCAAACGTTGTAAGATGGATGATTTGGATTAGGTTTGCATTAGATTATTCTAATAATAGCAGAATGTAATCCTACATTTGTATAAATTTCATAATGGTTGCCGGTTTGAACATATTTTCGCACATTAGGTGGACATTGTGCAGTTGAAGTGCAACTCGGGATGGAACGCTATTGGCAGCTTTAGAACTTACATAGCATTCAACAAAAAAAATAACTTCTAAACTATTTTCTTTCTTTGAATTCTGTCCACTGGATGCTGGAAAACAATTTTAAAAGATAGAATTTGTGATTTTTTAATAAGTCTGAAATTTTTTAAGGTTTAGAAACGTGGGTGCCACACAATCAACTGTTCTGCGGTTCGATTGTGTGAGTATACCGCAGGCAAAATAGATCATTGTATTGGGCCCAACCACTGTAATACAATTTAAAAATTTGTAATACAAATATTATTATTTTTAATTAGATTTATTTTTTTAGTAATAAACAATTTTATAAATTTCTGGTCAGAAATTTCCTATTTTTTAGGGTGTGATATACTTTCTTATGGGTTAGTTCTATTAAGTTTGTGAATTTGTTCATTAATGTTGTTAGCTAGAGAAAGTGTTAATAAATACAATAACTATAAAAATTTATTTTTATTGAATATTGTACTGTTGTTATTATTAGTTTTAACTTTTAGAAGAATACACGTGTACACGTGTAATACACGTGTACGTGAGCGTCACTACAGCAGCAGCGCCTTTTCCTAAGTACAATACATATATTGGACCGTGCCTACCCCTGGTTTAGAATGAAGCATCTCGCACATACCATTAGGTTCTCTAACATATTTAGTTTTTCCAGTATTCCATCATATTAAAAAAGTACCTTCTTTTCGTCTAAAAAATCCCGCATTGAACTGTTTTTCTCCCAGGCAATTACGGTTTGAACCTATTTTCTATCCTAGGCTTGCCATTTTTCTGTTAAAAGTAGTTTGCGTCTAATTAGATATTCAGAGCTCATCCTCTCGTATCTCCTGCCAAAGAGCACATCCGATGATTGATTGATTAGATGATTTGTTTTGTTTTTGACTTCCAAAGCTTTGCTTTGCTTTTGGTCGAATATTATAGGAATATGATATAATATAGTATATACGAACAGGATCGATGGAAGAAAAGCTCACATAAACATAGTTTTCCCCATTAGAAAACAACTAAACAATGTTACTCGCAAATGAGGCTACGTCGGTCAGAAAATGTTGAATAATATCTGATGCCTATTAAACGTATCGCTAAAAGGTTTTAGTAGGCTTGAAAGTATTTTAAACTTGGCTGTAGTGTTCTCTCTTGTTGACTTATTGAAATTGTTGTTCCTTATTGATCCCCGAAGACTAGGGTTGAGGTTAGGGCACGTACATATTTCAAGGCTATCATCGGTTGATATGTGCTAACTATATTTGGTTTGTTGGGAGGTTAGGGATTTAAACACGCATTAAGGTTTATTTACGGTTCAATAGGGGATCGCGGATTGCGGTTATTAGGTGGGTGTTTGGCGAGGAATCTGCACTGGGATTGCCAATATTTACTACCCCAATCAGGGAATGCTGAGGTCCTGCTTAGCCATCTGCTTCTGGGTGCTTACCTGCCACAGCACTCACTTTATGGCCACCGTCTCGCTCTTTATACCTCTCATACAAACATGCGAATATAATAAAACTTTCACAAAATTTATATCTATGTATCTCCCCATCTCTTTCTCTCCCTAACATGTTGCAGCGGAGAAGTGCAAGCGACGGTGGCGGGTTTTGCGCAACGATTACGCTCGCTGGATGAACGTTGACGCCCAGCGGCGTCGCGCAGGTACTAGGCGCTTACCGTTCCAATACGCGAAAGATCTGAGTTTCCTCAGGCAACACGTGAACGTCAGCGAGGATATCGTTGACGAGGACGAAGATAACGAGAGTGAGCGCGAAATCACCGGCGAGAACGCGGACAGTAAGACCTTGCAGCCCTTAAAAGGGGACGCCAAGCTGCAGGCAATGCCAGTTGACGAAAAGAAGCCGGCCAAGAAGCAAGGGGCGGCATTGCAGGAAACTAAGAACAAGTCGCCTGACTTCGACAACATAGAAGAGCGTAAATCCGCGGAGAGGGAGAAAGGCAAAAAGAAGAAGGAGCCCATCGACTTCAGCTGGGACGAGGAGGACGACGAGCTCAATTCGGAGGACGAGGAAGCCCCACCCACAAGTCCAGTCTCCACTGCTCAGGACACCGGAAAGCCGACGTTCTTCATCAAGCAGACCGGCGAGGACAACCGTTTGATCATTCGCAAGAAGAACTTGTACGCCTCTGGCTCCAGGGATCCGCTCGAGGAAGGGATGGATGACAGCGCCGACGAGTCGGGCGGCACTGGCAGCGACAGCCTCAGCGGTCGTCGTCCACGTCGCACCGTCCGCGCCACAGGAGTGGGCGGAGTCAAGCAGCTCCCAGTGAAGAAGGCCGCCACCGAACAGCGGCTGACCCGACAGCAGCGCCATAAGTCCATGGGTGTGGCTGCCGCTCGTAGCTCCACATCCCCAGTGAAATTGACCCCCGTGCCGAAGTATATGTCCAACAGGAATCAGGCTCGGTCGCAGAATATCGATGTAGTGAATAAGGGACTCGCCAAAGCGTTTGCCCTCACCCGAGACGATATCTTTCCACGTCCGAAAGCTCCGGCTCCAACTCCGGCATCGTCACAGTCACAGCCACAGTCCCAGCCACAGACACAGACACAGTCCCAGCCAGGCAGGATCATTTCGCGTCGCAGCAGCACCTTCGCAACCGCTTCGACGCTAACGAAGCGGCAGGTGAACAAGCCCGCCAACATGAATATCCCAGTCTCGAGTCCTACGCCAATCAGTCAAAGCTCAGGCTCAGCCAAAGCTCCACCCCCCATCTCAATCCCAGTTTCAGTCTCACTCCCATTCCAAGCCCCCCCCAAGGCCACCCCTGTCTCGACACCCTCATCCGCAGCGAGCAGCTGCATCAGCAACAATGCCCTACTCCTCACCAGCTCGCTGCCAAGCTCAGTGACGGTGACCACCCTGCTGGCTCCCTCAACGAGCGCAGTCTCAAGCAGCGGCCCGGTGAGTGCCAGTCCATTGCTGACAATAGCTGGAGCTGGAGGCGGAACCACCAATGTTCCGTCTTTCATGACACTAAGGTCCAGAACCGAGCGAGGAATGCAGACAGAGAGCCTGGACATCTTCTCTGATGAGCACTTCCTGGAGATGGTGCGCCCGCAGATGGCGGAAATGAATCCCCGCCAGAAGCTGCACTTCAAAAAGAAGGTGTTCCAGTCCCTAATGGAGACCTTTGACGACGCAACTGACTTCCCAGCCGCTGGGGAGCAGCAGCACTTCAACATCAACACTCCATCTGGCTTTGAGCACATCTCGGATCGTGAGATGCGCCTGGTGCGGGAGCTAGTGAGTCTGGTTAGTGCCGCCAAACACTCGGGCGCCATCACTAAGCCGCCCCCTCTGCCCGTCGTCCCGGACACGCTGCGCCCAGTAGTTCGAGCCGCAGCCCCACCTGCTGTCGCAGTCGGGCAATCGCGCCACCTCATCCAGCGCGTCTACAAGCAGAGCAACGGGATGAGCCTGGTCGCGTCCCCGGAAGAGAAGAAGATCTACCGTATCGTGCATACGAACGGCAAGCCGCCGGGCGCCGGCGTCGGAGTCGGAATCGGAGTTAGTGTCCCCGCGGAGGAGCTGCGCAAGAACAGCGTCGACAGCAACTGCTCCGGAACCAGCATCAGCCGTGCTGCTCCGGCTCCTCCGGCCAGTCCCAGGAGAGGCACAGCCGTAGCCGCCATACGCCCACAGGGCACCTCCACGATGAACACCTTCTTCGGGCCGAACCAGCCCCAGGTGGTGCCCGCTAAGAGCGGACCCCTCATCAAGGTGCGCGAAATGCCGCGTAGATTCTCCGTCTGTGGCAGCGGCGGACCCATCATGACCTTGGGCCCGCCATCCGGCACCACGAACGTGACTTCGCTCAGTCCCCAGCAGAATCTCAGTCCCATGGAAGCACAAATGCTCAAGCGTCGCCTGATGGGGGCCCCCGCCCCGGGCAATGTCCCGCCCAATCAGCGGCCCCGCTACTCGGGGAGCGCCACAGCTGGCCCCGGATCGGGAGCTGCCGCTGCCCCACACGCCAACAGTATGCTGCTGAAGAAGTCGGCAGGCAGCGTGCCCGGCAGCCAGAAGCAGCCCTCGCCGCCCGGCGGGGCCTCGGCACCGCAGCGCACCCCGCAGATCACCAGCGTCCAGGGAAACGCCTTCAACGACTTCGTGCAGCCCAAGCCGGCATCCTTGTCAGGAGGGTCCAGCTCTCCCCTGAAGCGGAGCCTGGTGGTGGCCAACGCCAAGAAAAGCGTCCCTGGTCAGAGGATTGCCATGGCGGATGTGCTGGCTGATCCGCAAGAGCAGGAGGAGCGTCGAGCCCATCAAGCGAAGGAGTATACGGAGACCGCTGCCACCATTGCAGCCGATGACTTCTCGGTGCTGGGCGGCGGCATGGGACTCAAGCGCGAGCCGCAGGACTCAATGGAGGAAGATGCCGACGACATATTGGGCATGTAAGCGAGTCAGAATTCGAATAGACCTTGACGCATCTTTGAGATACAACAGATTAACACATATATAATCCCCAACAATCTAGAAAGTAAGAACACTACGACACCATGAAAAACATATGATTTTTTTTGCCCTTGGAATATAAGATAAAATATCGGATAGCCAAAAATGTTAATAGTTTCGAGGATTTCATAAATGTAATCTAATCTTCAATTCAAATACTTGACACTCGTACAACGGTTAAATAAATTAAACGATTGATTTTGATTCTTTCCATAAACTTTATATATATATATATACATATATATTCTTCTTCTTATTGATGTTTCACAGACAGATTTTGGTTGAAGCGTCGAATAAATCGAATACATCTTCCCGTAAATTATTTGAAATAAAAGTTGTAAACAGAAACAGAAAACACCAACCAAACAGATGCGTTTTCAAGTGTGTGCGGGAAGTGGGATTAAAGGGTGGATTTGCACGATGTGAGCGATGGAGTGCTCAAGGCAAGAGGCGGCAACAGCTGGCGCAGGTAGGAAGGGCAATAAAATGAGGATTACACCTCTGCGACCTTTGTGGAAGGGAAATGTTTTGATGGGCCCATGAAACTCGTTGCATTCACTCGCTGTATTCGTATCACTCGCCAGACTATGCGCAGCCACACTAACTTTCTGTTGAATCAGTGTGGTAGTATCTTTAATATCAGCTTTGATCAGCTGTTGTAACCTCTCTGATCAATGAGAAATGTGATAAGATACGACGGCCAAAACACTGACTCGTCAAACGAAGAGAGGACTCTCAACGAATGGCAATCATGCCATTTCGTCGGTCACGTTAGATTCGATTGACGCTACTCGATTCAGGTGAACCACCGGCCACGATTTATAGGGCTTGGAGCAATCTAGTCGCTCGCCTGTGGGCTCTGCGCTTTCCGCTGGCCGCTGGCCGCAGAGTGGAATCTAATCTGGAGAGGTCTGCGTCCAGTGGTTGTAAATTAGAAGAGTCCCACCCCGATAAGGCCGCTATAAAGGCTCGCCTCAAGTGGCTGCGTGGCTCAGTCCCACCCAAGACACCCACCATGAAATACTTTGCTATCTGCGCTCTGCTCATCCTCCCGCTGGTCAGCGGCGGCGTCGTGCCCCAGCCCAGGACCTTCGAATATGAGATAAACCATATGCCCTCCCCATCTGATCTGAAAGGTAAGGGGACGAGATCTGATCTCAAAGACTCTTCCCACGTTCTCAACTTCAAATCCCTTTAAGCCATTGTCGAGCAGGTTCAGGCCGTAGTGCAGAACTTGGCCCGGGATAATGCTGATCTGATTCCGGATATCTCCGTCCAGGCTGATGCCGCTTTCCTGCCCGACATCTCCATGCTCACCGATGCTGACACCACACCGAAGCGGAGTTACTATGGTCTGAAGACGGCCCCTATTGCCAAGTTGGTGGGAGCAGTTGGCAGTGCCGATGCCGATTTAATTCCCGACATTTCTGTGGCCTCCGATGCCGATAACACTCCCAAGAAAAACATCCCCGGACTGAAGGCTCTTCCCAAACTCGCCAAGGTTTCTGGAGCCGAGCCTGTGGAGCCTCAGGCTGATGCAGACTTGATTCCCGACATCTCCGTGGCCTCCGATGCCGATGACACCCCAAGGCCTCGTGGCTGGCCCGGTTCTGGCCGGCCGTCCGGCTTCCGCCCCTCCCGCGCTCCCGGTCCGGGCCGCAGGCTGATGCAGTTTGATTGAAGCCGTGCACCCCGACTGAGGCTCTTCCCAAACCCAAGGTTTCTGGAGCCGAGCCTGTGGAGCCCCAGGCTGATGCAGATTTGATTCCCGACATCTCCGTGGCCAGCGATGCCGATGACACCCCCAAGAAGGCCATCGATGGACTGAAGGCTCTTCCCAAACTCGCCAAGGTTTCTGGAGCCGAGCCTGTGGAGCCTCAGGCTGATGCAGATTTGATTCCCGACATCTCCGTGGCCAGCGATGCCGATGACACCCCCAAGAAGGCCATCGATGGACTGAAGGCTCTTCCCAAACTCGCCAAGGTTTCTGGAGCCGAGCCTGTGGAGCCTCAGGCTGATGCAGATTTGATTCCCGACATCTCCGTGGCCAGCGATGCCGATGACACCCCCAAGAAGGCCATCGATGGACTGAAGGCTCTTCCCAAACTCGCCAAGGTTTCTGGAGCCGAGCCTGTGGAGCCCCAGGCTGATGCAGATTTGATCCCCGACATCTCCGTGGCCAGCGATGCTGACTTCAACCCCAAGGCCACCCTTGCCGAACTCCTGGCCAAGCTTCTCCAGAAGTAGCTCCACGAATTGACATCAGACTCTGTTTAAAACCGAAAAATAGATATCTCTCTGGTTGTGTGTATTTGTGTTCCTAAGTTTTTATGATTGCCATTAATCAACTCGAGCAGCACTGAACGCAGTTTGTTTTCATTCTTTATCAGGGATATTCGATGCTTCGAGTGGCCTGATAGCGGCGATAGGTTTGATTTAACAGGAATTTCCGAGCGGACAGACAACATTCTGCAGCAATATGGTGAGAGGGTGAGAGGTATATGCGTAGTACGCTCTTCTGTTGCGGATAGGAGGAGGCCCGTTGTCTTTGTTAAGTATGATCAATGCGATTAGAAGCTATTAGCCTCTTCCTATGCTCTCCTTCCTTTTGGAATCTATGGCTTCCCCATAACCATTTATACATCAGCCTCAACTCGAGCTTTACTATCCCTGAAGCGGACAGCTTCCTAGTCCGCCTCCAGGCGGGGCCGAGTCCAAGTTCAGGCTTTGCATGTTGGCCAAGAAAAAACTGATTAGCTTTGGCCCTGGACTAACCTCGGCGAGTAACAAATAAAATTAGTTTTTGCTGCCTTGCTGTATACAGCGGAGGGGGGAGCATGGAGCGTGCAGCATTGTTGTATTGTATCGCTTGCTATTTATAAAAAGGAATTAACGGCACAAACCGGACCCACACAAAGTGGCCCGAATGTGATCCCAATGCGGCACATGGCCATAAACAACGAGGTGGGACGGAGCCCGGGATTCGACGGGAATTGTGTGTTGGCGGAGCTGCAGCAGTTGTTGCTGCCGTTGTCGATGTGATTTTCACACAAAAGCGCCAAAGCGGCTACTAAATTACGTGCTCATGTGTTCTAGTTTCAGGTCCAGGTCCAGGTCCAGGTTCAGGCCAGACCCACTCTACTGGCCCCTGTGGATAGGCCGCAGCTGAGAGGAGGGAGAAAATCGCATTTGGAGCCGCTAATGAACCGCATTGGTCCCGGACCGGCCATGAGAGGGAGAGGAGCCCCACAGTCAAGTAGAGTCGCGACATCGTCTGGGTTCTAGTTTCGGTTTTCGGTTTTTGGTTTTTTGGTTTTGCCATTTTGCCGTTTTGCTTTTACCTTTGCCGCATATTCAAACGTAAAAATACCGTTTAAAAGTGTAACAATGCTGTTAACTATTGTGGGCAGGCCGGCGCATTGAAGAGCACGGGTCGGAACCAGGTGGGACCATGGAAGTGCAGAAGGCTCCGCGGTGCTGCGATAACGATGCCGTTTCAACAATTGGTGCTTGATTAAAGTGAGGTGTTCTAGTGTGTGTGTGGGGGTGCCAGCGATGGGATATAACCTCTGAATATTCCAAGGGACACGTCCGACCAAGGAGCGTTTGATTAACCCCCCGAAATGGTCCAAATTAATCAGCGTGCTCCCAGGCCCAAATCCTTGTGGCCGCGAAATAACCCATCGAACGGAGTAGTCCTACAAACATGTGTACTCATCAGGTTCTACCATCATTAGCTGATCATTCGGTTGAAGCATCTGTGGAGCCATTGCCCGAGGCTAATACTCCTGCTTTAAACAGATCATGCTCGCTCTTTTATATTGTTTGGCTGATGGGATTAGAGTGTTCTCCGTTCTTGGATCAGCATGCTCGCTCCCTTCAACAGCAGCACTGCTACTCGCCCTTCTTTTCATTTACTTTGTGGCAAAGTTTATTCCATTGCGTTGCGGCCAGCTGTCGCAGCACTCCTGCCACCCCTGCCCCTTCCCCCTCTCCGGAACTGTCTTCGGCTGCACTTATTACAAAACTTTTAACTTTTCCCACTTTTGCATTTTCATTTGTTTCGCAGCTGCCCTTCGCCGACGCCGTCGCCGTCGCCTTAGTCGGCAGCAACTCAGCCTTTCATTCACTCGCAGCGAATTGTTGCTGCTTAAGCATATCACTTCGCTCTTTGCAGAGCGAAGGAGCGAAGGAGCGCAGGAGTGAGAGTGAGAGCGCTGATGAAATTTCATTTCGCTTCCTTCCGCTCCGCTCTGCTGCGTTCTCTTCAATACTATTCCCTGCTTTTCGGTGCACTGCTCTTCCCCTCTCAGCCAACTACGGAAAAAACTTCGCCTATGAACTTTAATCTTTTCTCTTCGGAGAAACTATTGCTTTCAGCCGGACATAAGCTTGACTGCGAGTATATACATACGTATTTATACATATATCCCCTGTTAAAATATTTCTACTATATCCACAATATAAAGTGCAAAAGTGCAGAGGAAGGGGGCTTTATTGGCGATCTTTCCACGGGGTTTTTCCAGCCACATGGAAAAGGGGGGTCAGTTCTTTGGCTAACCTCTGGCTAATGACTTCCTTGTCGACGTTTTGGCCTCCTCAATAAGATAAACAAGCGGAAAGTGCAACATCAACAAGCAACAAGCAACAACAGCAAACACTTCAAGAATGTTCACCGAACACGCGATGACAACATAGCCACCAGCCCCTCCCCACTCCGCGCAGACTGAAGAAACTGAAGAAAGAGTAGCAGCAGAGACAGAGATAGCGTTCAGAAACTTTTGTGCGCGAGCGAGACGCCTACAAAACCCGTCAGAGCCACTCGAACGCCCAGTTCAGCCGCCCACCCACAGATGGCGCCACATATACCGTTTGGAGGTAAGCAAATCAGGAATTAATGCGCCGCAGGTGAAGCCAGAAACGTGCGGAGGGGTCTCAGAAGAGAACGATAAAGATGCCAACTTCTGGAGGGTAAGGAAAGTCGTTCCAAAGTTTGACAGTTCTTTGAGTTTGAAGTGACCAAAAATGGGCAAAACAGACTAAAGTACTCAAGCGGATGAAAAATAGCCGTATAGTTAAATCTATGGATTAGATTAGTGAATTGTATTTAATTTTAAACTTATTTTTCCCCACTTAAATTGGATTCTTTGCCTGCAATCACAGTGAAAGTTCTCCTAGGCATAGGCGGACAAAATGTCAACCAATGTGACCCCAACCAATGTGTCAGCTTTCACTGCATTCATGAATCCTTTCACTTGGTGTGAGTTTCTGACAGTTTCCCAGTTTTTCTGCTCCAAGCACACAGAGTCATTGCTTCTGATCAAATAAGTGCAACATCAGCAGCGATCTTTACCTGTGGCACTTGTCCGATGTCCAAAACTCTCGCAGACCGCCAATTAATTTAAATATCAAGCGCAGAAATCATCTTTATTTTGCTTTCACTCTTTTTTAATAAAAGCCAATAAATGCATGTACAGATACATACATTCGTATGTATGTATAGGTCTGAAAGGAAAAATATGGTAAGTACGTCAGATTCACTCGAGTCAGTTTTCGCAACATTTTTCACTTTTTGCTCGTGACCTGCGGACGATCATCTTCTATTTTGTTTTATTATCTTTTCGAAAAAAATACATTTAATTAGCTAACGATTTCATAAAGTTGTGGGCAGAGGTCTTGGGGGAGGATACGGCTGGTGGCTGCCACTGCCGCATTTGCAACTTTGACATTTTGCCGCATTAGCAAGCGATTGCCGCAGTACGTGATGTCGTGCCTCCGCCCTCCTCCCAAGCACGGTGAGCATCATCAACCCCCCAGCCGCACTCTTCTCTTTCCGCATGGCTCGGTTGGCCTTGGTATTTTTGTTTCATCTTTTCTGCTGGCATTTTCGGCTGCAGTCTTTTTTTCCAGTAATAAATATTTTATTAGACGCGGCGTGAAAGGTGTGCAAAATTTACACCAGCGCCAGGACTGGCGGCGTGGGAACGGTAGCGCTCAGTGGCCTCTCTTGCCAGTTTAGTCATTTGCGGGGATTTGCATTTCTGGCCATAAAAAATCGAGTTGGCAGCTCCTTTTGGCTTCCTGTTTATGGCGGATATACAGACGAAAGGCTCTAAATTTGTTTTCCCCTTTTATTTATATATATTGTGGCGTAATTTATACATATATGATTTTTTTCCTTTGCATTGTTGTAAAGCTTTCTTCACGAAGGTGAGTTCTGTGCGGGACAAGAGGGTGGAGAGAGGTAAGCAAAGGTGATAACGGAATGGAGAATATGTATCACTACTATGTATTAGAAGGTGGCCTATAGTGGGCTTCCACTAGGAGATTAATTTTAAACAGCAGTAAAACTTTTTTAGCAGTTTTTGTTTTGTTTATCGAATTATCTGTAAGAGAAATAAACTGTAGATATACTCCTATAAATATAGAATGTGTACAGTGATTTTTTGTTCGTAAAATTCCTGTAAGTTTATTTAAATTTAATTTGCCTCTGCTTAGTTGAACGTGTCAGAATGTGGCCCGCTGAAAACTGACTGCCGTACTCTTTACCGTATTTTACTGTTATCGATATACATATGTACATATATTCTGTACAAACCTTTAATAAGGGACTTCACACACGTATGTATGTATGTACGTATGTTTTTTTTCTTTAATCTCCACTCCCTTCCGTCACAGTTGAATCTTTAGATGACTTTCTTCCCTGTATTCCAGTTTCATGCTTGGCCCTTGTAACTTTCTCACTTAATGACACATACTTTTCCCGAAGACTGTAGCTGCAGCTGTTTAACCAAGTTATTTATGACACTTGGTCACACTTTGTCAAGCTCTGAAACTCCCCCACACGAGTAATTCTCTCTCTCTCGCACCCCACCGCTTTCAGACTCTCACTTCCCACTTCCCACTGCCTTTTGTTTTTGCAAATTCCTTTTGGCAAAATGAAAATTCCTCTTCTGTAAATAGTTTACAGGACACTCGTGGCCGGGGAGGTGGTGCTGTGAAGGAGTTGTTGTCCCGCCTGGATGAAAATATTTGTGCACTTGCATTTTATTAAGGCTGGGATCGCACCTCGGAGACCTCAAGGGTGGGTGTTGCCAGAGGCTGAAGGAATTTATTATCATTGTCGCCTGGTCAATGCACCTGGCAACCAGAGGGGAGCAGCGAGATTCTGTCTGTCGTGCAACAAATGGCTGAGCATAATTAAAGCCATTTGTTTCGCCCGGGATCGTTTCAGGTCAGACGATTTATTGTATTTTCCAGTTAGTTTATGTGTCGTATTGAAACCGGTGAACAAGTGTGGGATGGGGTGGAGATGGAAAAACCCATACATTTCCGTTGAGGAGGACAGCGGGAAATCAATTAAC